CAACAATCACACTCTACTCTACATCAGAAAAAAAAAAAAATATACAACAAAAAAAAAAAATAACAAAAACCAAAAAAAAAAAAAAAAAAAAAAAAAACAATATATTTTTTTAATTTTATATTCGCATTTTAAAGCTACTATATGATTACACATAATATAATACTATTTTATTTAATTGAATAAATATAAATATTTTTCCAGTTTGAATTAAAATTAAAAAAAAAATATAAATCTATTATTAGCAAATTAATAAACCTAATTTGTATTTGATGTGAAATTCTATATTCTCAATAATATAACAAAAATAATTAGATATTTAACTTGATAATATGATCTTATATATCATATAAGTAATGTTTACTTTTTTACAATAAATATTTATACATTGATATACAAATTAATTAATGATCTTTATAATTTTGATATACTGTTTATATTACAATCTGTAAGTCAATATAATTTTAATAAATGTTTCAACATTTGTTTTATAATATTAAATAAAATTTTGCCTATTTTCAAAATTATTTATATTTATGGGTTTAATATTTATTTTAATTATTTTTCGTAACAAGCTACATTTGCTTTATAACAATAAACTATTAAAACCTCATTACAAGACCTTTTTAAATGTCAATTATGAATATTACAATTTTAAATGAAAAATATAATGCAACTTAATTTATCAATTGAAAAGTAGGTATATACTATATATTCGTCTACTAGATATACATTCTAATTAGTTTAAGTTTACAAATCTATGACTTAATACTTTTATTAGGAGCATTTTCCCTTAGCCAATTTCTTGCTCGCACTATATCTTCATCTTCGACCTCTATCGCTTTAACGCAAAACTCATCGGGATACTCTTCTATGCCTTCAATATCTTCACTTTTATATAATATGTTAGCCAATAGACGCTTGCGGGTTGTAGTCTCATCTACGCATAAATACATTGGAGCCGTAGCGGAGGACTGAAGCTGTTTAAGAAGTGGTGCTAGCGTCAACGCTGCTGTTGTGGGATCTTGAGAAGTAGAGTTTCCGGTGGCACAATACTGTTTAATATTAATTATTAATATCATCAATTCGTTGATGGAAATTTTGTTCATGAAATGGAAAATATTTCAATAGTCACCTCATTTTTACACCACTTCTGACCACATCCAGTTGTTAATTGTGAATGATATTTTCTTGCAACTCTGGTATACAACATTTTCTTATTTGGATCTGCCGATGGTGACCAAAAAGGTCCAAAACAAACAACACATAATCTAAGTGCATTGTCCGCTGCGCTCCTAATGCAATTTTTATTTCTACAAAGCCGTGGCAATCGTCTATTCTGTCTTTCCATCTCATGCATCATGTGATGCACCTTCACATTTTTGAGGATAACGGGAAGTCCACATTTTGTACATGTGATAGTACGGCCACCACAATAAGATTCATGAGCAGTCAACCCATCGAGTAAATCTTGTTGATTAGTAAGAAAACCTCCACTTTTAACATAATTGTGACAAAATCGGCATACAATTAACTTGTCCGGACAAGTTGTTTGTTTGTGTGAGGCCATTTCAGGAAGAGATTGTGTTTCATATCCGCATGAACATTGCCGATTAGTGTGAACGACATGCATGTGTTTATCTCTTTCCCTAATATCACCATTCTAGTTTAGATAATAAATCAGTATTAATATCTTTCTATTAGAAATATCAAAAAATTTAGATTCAGTAGTTTACCTTTTCGCATTGATCACAATGCCAATGTCTTTCCTTTTCATCTTTCTTAATTACTTTACCGCAGACCTTGCATAGAACATTATTCCTCTGACAAAAGTTAAAATGCAAAAAAATAGTACGCTCGGGTATCCAACATCCGCAATTGTCGCATTTTGCATACCCAGGGGAATTTTCATTAGTATCAAAATTTTCGAGAGTGGTTTCTACCGATTTAAGAGGATGATCGGAGGACATTAAATTTAATTCATAAGACGTTGGTGAATCACTAAAACCGAAAACGCCGATATAGATTTCCGAATTTGAAGCGTACTCCGAGTTCGTTGACTCAATAAATATTGATTTGGTTGGATCGGATGAAAAATCAGACCAGATGTGTTCGTCAACTTTTGGGTTGCGATTTGTTGACACAAGAAGATCTAAAGTTAAGAAGTTACGTGAAATTTTAATAATAATGATAATAATAAATAACTGATAAATTAAAAAGTACCTGCATCTCCAGTTTTTATATTCAATTCGATGTTGAGTCCATGTGATCTCTCAAAACTAGTCGCTTTCCAATATACGTACTCATCTTTATTAACAATACCTTTAACAATCTCACCGACGCGTATATCATTTTCTTTAGGTTTTATGATCGTACTTATTACGTTTTGTGAATTGGGATCAGAAAAGGGAGTTATCTCAACCTCCAAATCTGTGTCTAGAACTTGTACGGCATTAGCAGGTTTCAGTTCCTCCACCAAAAATTGGTAGGATGAATTTGCTTGCTTTATTGTTAAGATTTCGCCTTCAGTTAAGGTCGCGTAGTGTGAACGTAAGTATCCCTCGAAGGCGGCTCTAGAAAAGTCAATTAGATGTAAGTGCCCGAAAAATCAACAAATTTGAAAGAATAGGAAAATATATAAAAACCTGTAATCTCTTATCTCCTTATAATCCGTATTCATTGGGCGAAATCTTACCCAAGTACCTTTGGGTAGTTCTTTTAGGCGGATCGTGACCTCGGAGCCCTCTTTCAGAGACAAAGATTCATACATCCACGGCGGCAAGTAAACCTTCTCGTCTTCTGCATTGAATTCTAAAACCCCGCCATGGGTAATCAACCGTGTTTTTGGATTGGATATTTGGAAGATTATCGGCTGAGGTAGCTGTGAGTTAGAAAAATCGTCTGGATTCGATTGATTTGCAGTTTGTAAAAGGTCTAAAAGCACAGAAGGTGGTAGGATGAGTTTGTCACCTTCTAAATTATGCATTATTGAACCAGACAAAAAGGTTTTCGTGTAAGAAAGCGACATTTCGCAAAAATTTTCAAAATTCGAAGTTCATGATTCGCCCTGTATTTATAATTTTTTTGTGCTTACGCAATTTAATTACGTAATAAGGCAGATTACAGACAGCAAATTGAACACTCGAACATTCGGTTAATTTAATAATCAGGTAACGTGACACTGTTTTTATCAGTTAAAATTAAGCTTAATATTAATTGTACGTATCGAAGACTTGAGCAACTAATTTGTATTATAGGAATATAGTGAAACCTATAGAAATAAAACATTATTCTTCCATTATCTCGCATTCAGCACCATTCACACATTCTCCGTATTCAGAGCTTTCCATCATAATTCTTCTTGAATGCTGCAAAGTAATAATATTGTTTTCCCCAACTACGTTCAGTTTCTTTTTTTGAATGCCTCCGTTCAACCTTTCTTCGTCTTTTCCTTCATCAACACAATTAGCAAGTGTTATCTTGCCTTTGTTTATCAGATCAGTGTAATCCTCTTGAATTAGTCTTGTACAAGTTTCAGGAACCAAAACCTCTTGCAAGAATTCACCAATGCTTTGTGGTTTTGCTAATTCGGGAGTAAGTATTTTTTTTGACACAAACATTTTCGTCAAAGTTTCCATCATTACTTCCGATCCTTTCGGACCATAATATCCAGGCTACAGAATAATATTAAGACTTTAAATGTCGTCTGACGAAAGAATGATCGACGATGAATCAAACAAGCAAAAACAACATACCCTCAATGATTCGAATCTATTCATAATGTACATTGGTGATTTCGCCCGTTTACCAATTTTCCTGTAAACCTCCAGCGCATTCTCTCGATACCAACTTTCCCTTTTACCCTGTATGATCTCTTTCAGTTCTTTCTCGTATTTTCTAACTCTACTTGATAATTCATCATAATTTATCGTTCTTGGATACCTTTTCGAAATTCCTTGTGGAATGATTTTGAGTTCTCTATTATGCAAACGACAAAATTTATCTTTCATATCGAGAGCCTTCTTTTTAGATGAAGAATCACATATTTGAAGAAATTGCTCCTGAATTTTCGGTGGAAGTGGATTTGGTAATTCTTCATGACAACAAGGACACTCTATTCGTTTTTTCTCCTGTGTAATAAATAATAGTTTCACCGTTCTGGATCTTAAAAGAATAGAATAGAATCATGATAAATTATGTAACCGTTCAACCTACCAGCTTTCGTTTTTTTGCCATGTGACCATCAGATTCATCAGAAGATGACCCCGACGATGATGAATCCTTTGAGGACGAGTCCGAACTATCCGATGATGATGTTGATGACTCCGAAGAGGAAGATTTTATGTTTGATATACCAGTCAAATGACCAGATTTCAGTAGTGAATTGCGAGATTCACCAAAAGGTGAAGAACTAGAATCTGATGAATTCGATTCTTTTTTCTTCTGGTTAGAGGAAGTTGAATTTTTACGTTTTTCGTGAACATCAACTACGAGCTCGGAATTATCATCCTCTGATGAATTTACTACAGAATTCTGGTTTTGCCTTTCTTCGTATGTTTCTTCGTCATCAGATGATATAATCAGGGGTGACTTATACGATTTTGAATACCGGTCCAAAATCTCGGAAGCAATATCTAACAAGGTAAATCCCATTCGCAAATCGTCAAATAAATATTTTAAGAAGAAAATGAAATCCAAGTAACAAGCAAATAAAATAAAGTGAAATAAACCTCTAAACGGTTTCGTGTTGAAATCATTTACAGTGTACTTCAATTTGCGCCAGTTATTTTTCAATACCTCCGGTGTCCTATAGAATATTTTACAACAAACATCTTGTCTGTAAATAGAATCCGAAAATTTAAAATACGAAAATATATAGAATACGAACCAAGGACCCCAGTTATCATCAATCAAACTATCCCAATCGATGTGGAGTTCTTCGGTCACCTCAGATTCCAAAATTCTAAAATCCACATTTAAAAGAGTAAAATCAATTTCAACATACTGATCATGAAAACCATAAAGATAAAAATCAATAAGACCAACTTGTGGACAAGTATAGCGCTATCATGTTTGCGCCATTTGGCTACTATTCCATGTTCCATCTCATACTTTAGCCTTAAACTATATTTCCTATAACAAGTTAAATGAATATTCTTCAGTACTACTATTTTAGTTATTTTTAACCGAACCTTAAAGCCGTATTACCATTTTCTTAAACATTGACCATAGGTTCTCTTATGCCCCATTTTTTCGGCCACCGCTTCCCAAGGAATTCCCCAATCCGTGGAAATATCAGCATCATTTTCTTTGGTAAGGTTAACAATGATATTAATTAACTTTTCTTCTTCTTCAGCAGTCCACTTTCCTACATAATCATTATTTAAAACTTCATAAGGAATAAGTCGAGTCCGGAATCGATTTGTCTGACTCTACAATACCCAAGTTCTTTTT